ATTGGACCTACTTAAATCACTGGGTGCTTCAGAAGTACGAGTTAGTTGATCAAATTCTCATTGTAAAGAATACCATGAAACTGCAAAGCTTTCAAAGTGATCTTTCTTCCATTAAGGGCTAAAAGTTGCTTTCTTTGAGTCATTCTAAGATTTGATACGATTCATGAGATGGTATCAGCAAGATACCAGAAACAGAAGATTCAGTTCAGCAATGCAACATTCCATCACGCTTGTAAATAAGCTGTTTATTTGCTGGGAAATCATTAATCCATTGAGGAGACATTTGTACCTCAAATAGAAAGGTATGTTAAAAAGAAGTCTTTCCTTTATTTTAAGAATACAATTTTGGTGAAGTTTATGCCTGTTGCGGAGGGAGCAGTTCAATATATTGTGAAACTCTTCAAAATGAACAATAAAGCAAATGAAGGTGCATGTATGCAAACTGACGATTTATGATCCAGATTAAGGCTTACTTTTATGGTGACTCTGTGAGCTTCTTTAATAACTTAGTGCACAAAGAAATGACATAATGTGGAATATACTGCCTTTGTTTGATTCCAATAATGCTAAATTATCCAATCTTATTCAGTCAGCATCAGTATAGGAAATAAGAGTAAACCACATGGTTTCTCTAGTTTCTTCATCATACAAGATCATGGCTGATCTTTGACTCTACTCCACTTCCCTGCCTGCTTCATATAATGCTTAATACCCTTCAGTCTAAATATCTGCCCATCTTTCTTAGAATCCTTACAGTGTGGAAACAGGCCCTTCGGCCCAAAAAGTCCACGCCAAACCTCAGAGCATCCTACCCAGACCCACTCAATCTACACATCCCTGAACATTACAGGCAATTTAGCACGGCCAATCCACCTAACCTGCACATTTTTGGACTGTGGGAGGAAACCAGAGCACCTGGATGAAACCACATAGACATGGGGAGAACGTGCAAACTCCACACAGACAGTCACCAGAGTGTAGACTTGAACCTGGGTCCCTGGTGCTGTGAGGTAGCAGTGCTAACCACTGAGCCACTGTGCCATCCTATATCTCCACCTTGAATATACTTATCAACTGATCATCCTTTGAATCTGAAAGAACTGTGGATACCATAAATCCGAAATAAAAATAGAAATTGCTGGAAAAGCTCAGCAGGTCTGGCAACATTTGTGGAGAGAAATCAGAGTTAACGTTTCAGGTTCATAGAATCATAGAATCCCTACAGTGTGGAAACAGGCACTTTGGCCCAACAAGTCCACACTGACCCTTGGAGCATCCCACCCAGACCCACTACAACCCACTATAACTAAAGGTTGAGTGACACTTCCTCAGAGCTACCTTTGCAGTGTCTAGTGTTTCCATCCATCACTCTAGTGACCTGACAAAGAGGCTGAAATGGATCACTGAAGATGAAACATACACAATTCTGATCAGTTGTTTTTTATGCAAAAGACAGGGTGGGGGAGGGGGATAAGAAGTAAATGATAGGTGGGGATAGAGCCCAAAGAGAAAGAAGAGCTGTTGGTCGAAGGAGTGGGTAATGATCTGGATAAGCGAGTGAATAGCTATTAATCGGACTGTTAGTAGCTAACAATGGGTGGTGTGTAATAGCAGACTATGTGATAACAAGACCTGGTTTGTGAGGGTTGGGGTAAGGGAGGGTTGGGGTAAGGACATGGGAGAACTCAAGCCCTAAGGTGATTGAATCCGATATTGTGTCTAGAGGGCTGCAGGGTCCCCAAGTGAAAGATGAGATACTTTTCGTCCAGCTTGCGCTGAGCTTTGCTGGAGCACTTCAGCAAGCCTGTGACAGAGATGTTGGCCGGGGAACAGGGTGGTGTTTAACATTTTAGCGAAGATCTGTAGCTCAGGTTGTGGCGGGAGTTGTTGGTTGGTTCGCCGAGCTGACTGGTTTTTGTACAAACGTTTCGTCCCCCTCTAGGTGACATCGTCAATGCGGTGTAGCCTCCGTTGAAATGCAGTTATTCTGTTCTGTTCTGAATTTATATGGTCTGATCTGTCATGGTGGGTAGCTCTGTTTCTGGTTTTGCCCTGCAGTGGTACGTAGGTGGTGTCTATTTCAATATGTTTGTTTATCACATCGGTGGTTGAAAACCAGGCCTCCAGAAATTCTATGTTTTGCTTGTCCTAATACTGTTACTTTGTCCCAGTTAAACTGACGTCCTTCTGTGTTGGAGTGTATTGAAACAAGGGAGAGTTGGTCGTGCTGTTTTGCTGTGAGTTGGTGCTCATGTGTCCTAGTGGCAAGTTTCCTGCCCATCTGTCCTATGCAGCGTTTCTTGCAGTTGCTGCATGGTATTTTCTATATCACATTTGTTGTGCTCCTTATGGGTACGGGGTCTTTCATCTTTGAGAGTAGCTGGCGATGAGAATATATGCTTCGAGAGTAGCTCCCATGTCATTATTCCAAGAGGTTGTAGGAGTCTGGTAATCAGTTCCGATGTGTTTCTAATACAGGGTAGGGGGTAGCCAGTGTGTTGGGGTGTACAGTCTCTTCTTGGTGTTATTTATTTGCCAGGCATTGGCAGATGAAGCTGTTAGATTATCCATTGTTCACAAAAACTTTGTATAGGTGTTCCTGTTCGTTTTTGCGTAGCTTCAGGGTGAGAATTCCTAGAAGCCCAGTTTTCAACCTCTGGAGCCATAAACAACGTATTGTAATAGACCGCATCTACATACCACAAAACCAGAAACAGAACTGCCCACCATGACAGACCAGACCATATAAACTCAGAACGGAACAGAACAACAGTGCTTCAACAGAATCTAGACACCTAGAAGGGAGGTGAAACATTTGCACAAAAACCAGTCACAGCTCAGCGAACCATCCTACAACTCCAACAGGGTGGTGTGATGAAGTGGCAGGCAATTGGAAGTTCAGGGTCTTTTTTGCAAATGGAACACAAATGTTCTGCGAAGTGGTCACCCAGTCGACGCTATGTTTCCCCAATGTAGAGGAGACCACATTGTGCGCAGCGAATGCAGTAGACTAGATTGAATGAAGTGCAGGTGAAATTCTGCTTCACCTGGAAGGTGTGTTTGGGCCCTTGGATACTGGGGAGGGAGGAAGTAAATGGACAGCTATTACACCTTCGGTGGTTGCAGGGGGAAGGTGTTGTGAGACTGTAGGGGGTTGTTGGGAGTGAAGGAAGAACAGACCAGGATGTCCTGGAGGGAGCATTCCCTGCATAAGGCTGACAAGGCAGGGGAGGGGAATGTGTGTCTGGTGGTGGCATCTTGCTGGAGGTGGCAGAAACAACGGCTAATGATCCATTGAGCTCTGTGGTATAGTTCCAGATTTATAATTTTACAGAAATTTCTCATGTCAGTCTTAAATAGCAAAATCCTTACCTTGAAATTATACTCCTTGTTCTAGACTCTAAGCTCTACATGAAAAGTTACCCCCTTAGGTCCCTTTTATACCTTTTCCCTCTCACCTTAAACCTATGCCCTCTAGTTTTGGACTCCCTGACCCTGGAGAAAAGAGCTTGATTATTCAACCCCATTCCATGCCCCTCATGATTTTATAAACTTCTGACGCTCCAGGGAAAATAGCCACAGGCTTTTCAGCCTCTCCCTATAGCACAAACCCTGGCAACATCCTTGGAAATCTTTTCTAAATCTTTCAAGTTTAACAACATCTTTCCCATAGCAGGGAGCCTGGAATTGAATGCAGTATTCAAAACGTGGCCTAACCAATGTCCTGTGCAGCCACATCATGATCTCCCAACTCCTTTACTCAATGTACTGACGAATAAAGGCAAGCATACCAAAAGCCTTCTTCACTATCCTGTCTCTACTTTCAAGGAACTATGAACCTGCACTCCAAGGTCTCTTTGTTCTCTCAGAATTTTTTATACTTTAACAAGATTGCCTTATATTCTTCTAAACTCAATGGCATAAACCCATTTTAATCAGTTCTTGGGTCAGGGTACTTATGCAGCACTCCTGCAATTGCTTTTGGAATGTGTGAAGCTCAGAAGAATTATGATGTCCTCAACAATCATACAATTTGTCATCTTACTGTTTAGCCTAATATAAAACATAGAGTCAGTGAGAAAGGCTAGGTAACTGGAAATGAAAACAATTGTGTTAGAATTGATAAGACTAATTGTGCCAGGACTGATAAAGTGGCTCGAAGGCATATCATACTCATCTTGGTCACAGTCGTAATTCATGGTAGATGAGTAAATTCCAGTAGTGATACTGCTATTTGTAGCAATTCCCTCTTCCCACATCCAATTTCATACCTTTGTGATTTATGCTTTATTATAGTGCCAAAGGAAATAGCAGCTCCAGTCCTTCATTGAGTGGCTATTCAAGTGTTTAGCAAGAGGAACTCTCATTGTTATGCTGGTCCTCATTTGATGTTGATGAATGTACTTTAAGTAAAATGCTACAGGTTCAGAGGTGACCTGTGCAGAATAAAACAGGTGATCAAAGGAAATTTACATGACAGGTGTAATGCTGTGAGGCTGTTTTCCATCTCTGGGCAAACTTCAGCTAGGGAGTAGTTTCAGGCGAAGGGATTGATTACTTAAGATTGAAATGATGAGAAATTGGTTCACTCAGAGGGTCGCGAACATTTTGAATTCTCTAGTGAAGAGAGCTATGATGCTCAGTTGTTAAGCATATTCAAAGATTAATAGGTTTTTGAATGTGAGGAGAATCAAGGGATGTGAGAAATAGCATGGACAGTTCAAGGGACCAGGTTACCTAATTCTGTTCCTATTTTTATTCCATTACATTATTCAGCAATCTACAACTATTTAACAATCACCTTTGGTGAGAAAAAGGGAAATGATGCACAGATAGATACCATGAATTGTAAATTGAGATAGACAATTTTAAAGCATGAAACTGCTGATGATCTGTGTGTGTATATAAAATATTGCCTATTGCCATGGAGAAAGAAGTGCTTCATTTAAGTTTTCTAAAACGAAAATACCTGGCAACACTTAATATATAACTCTGCAATGTAAACACTCCAGGCACATCATGTATTTATTAAATCACAGTGACAAAATAGTCTGTGTAACAATCTCTCATACTCAAGTGTAACAATAGATAGTCTTTCAGATAATATACTGAACAAGTCATTGGAAAAATATACAACACATTAAAAGTACCAATAAGAAAAATACGCTGAAGAAAACATAGGTAGACTCGTGTTTAAATTATGAGCTTCATCTTTTAAAGTCTCTTCACAGTATTTAATTCTTTAAATGGTTTTGCTGATTTTTTTAATGTTTACAAGTAGTCTGAAGTTGCACCAATCAAATTGCGAAACTTGCACATTTCATTCTTACATAAGGAGCCTTTTGGATAGGGACAAAATATTAAATTTATTTCCCACTCACCCCCAATTTTCTGCCTTTCCTGAAGTTAGTTACTCAGTGGGATACATCTCTTTGGTCACAGTTTGCCCTTCATACATTGCCAACGTGACCATTCTTTAAACATATGCTGAGGTACTGAATACTGGGAAGCTGTATGACTGGTTGCAAGGGCACAGGGATTGAGAAGAACAGCTGAGACTGACTCTCATTTCATACAGTTTCTACACATATAAATGACACCTACCAGTGAGTGCAATAGCTGGAGACAGGAACCCTGGTCGCTTTTTTTGAAAAAGAAGTCTACAGTTATGAACAAAGTAATACATTGTACAATTCCCACAACTGCATCAAATGAGATCAAATAACAAACCAACATGAGACATTAACTGTCTGCACAGTTTAGCAAAACCAATTAACCCCAAATTAGTATAAAAGCAAAACTTTGCCCAATACTGTTTTCAGCCAGTTTTGAATGTCCATAAACAATAACAAAATGATTTTACATTTCTGCACATTGCAACTTCCACTTCAAAAGCAGTTGGCCATAAAGCCTTTTGTGATTTCCAGAGGTCATAAAGGCACCATATAAGTAAGAATTCCATTTAATTGGTGCCTTCATGATCATTACATTTCACAGTCATTGAGGCAAGCAGTTCTATGAAGAGTTCATTGCTGTTATAATGTCATGCAAGAATTTCATACTGTTTGCTAAGCTCCATAACACCCACAAACATCTTGGAAACAGTAGTTATGAATTTAGACTTTTCTGAGTGTTAAGTCCATGTTTCTGCATATTTAAAAGGACGGAACAAAGCAGAACATTTTTCTGAAAACAATTTTGAACACTGAATTTCAGCATTTCTGTCTGTTGGGGTAAAAAAAAGCATAAATTAACATATATCTTTACCTTCAGGGTAAAATGACAAAACATTTAGCAGAAATGTAAATTTTTGGCTTTTCTCTGGGATTCAAAACACCTCCAACCACACATCGCACAATCTCTAAGGCATGTTTAAGTTTTTCAGACAGAATTTGGTCTTTCTGTTCAACTAGGAAAGGGAGTAGAAATTACACATCACAGTTTTCTAGCCCTCACGGTTACCCGCTCTCAAACTCTGATAGAAGAAAAACTGCATTAATGAACACAGAATCAGAATTTCAATTCCATGATGTTTATATTTTCTCTATTATATTCTTTCCAACTTTTATTTCATAAACATACAAGAAAATGTTACCTGTGCTGAATGGTGATCGCCAGATTCTCCAGCACTTTCAGATCTGATTCCAAGGCCTTGTAAAAACATCTCTAATCAGTCCCTAACAGGCTTGAAAAGTAGACCTTAGGTAAATCACCTATTTTCATTTGTCACTAATAGAAGTCTTCTGGGTGAAATTTACATTATGGAATTTTTTTAAAAAGCCATTCTAGGCACAGCCATAAACATATACAACATACATAAGGCATCAAGGGTTTAACAAAAAATAAAACAAATTAGAGTTGTATAAACGTTTTTACTTCATTCCTTTACAACATTTTGCCTTTGAAGATGCAGGGAAGATGTTTGAACTCAAATACAGTTCAGCTTTACGTACAAGGTGTAGAGCTGGATGAACACAGCAGGCCAGCATCTCCAGCATCTGTAGTTCCTACTATCTCTGAAACAGCTTTATGTACATTTGGTTTTGCAATTTTACTGAAGGCTCATATGCACGCACAGAGGAGAATTCTACAGGCAACAAATAACTTAATCTGCCAATCTCTTACCGTATCTCATCTAGGCTAAACCAATCAGCGCAGGTCACAAATCAAATATGGAATTTCTCATGTTATTGGGAAGTCAAGCCTAGCATCCGAACTAGTTTCAAAAGCTTCTCTTTGCCAAAGTGACTAATCAATACTCCTAACAGGATGTTGCCGCTTCCTAGGTTTTTCAATGTGTGCTTTATTAATTAGTCCAACGCAAGGCTGCCAAGTTATATCAAATATCAGCTATCTTTAGATATTACATTTTAGTTTTATTCAGCATCAATATGCTACACTACCATGGACCTTTTGGGCAACTGTATGTGTTGTGTGGGGAAGATTCTACAGAGAATGTGCATTTTAAAAAAGTTGCAGTTTATACACTGAGAAATTAAATATTGTTCACAAAAGTGACTTGAACACTTTGGCTACAACTGAAAACTACAACACTCATGGCTTCTTACATTCTAAAATATTTTCCATCATTGAAAACTTAAGTCATTTGCTTTTAAAATAAGAAAAATGGCTCAAAGTACAAATTGCAGCTGTAATAAAGCTAGTGGTGTTGCGATAAGGTTGATGCTTAAATCACAAAAGAAGCAAAAATGTCTACTGGTAGCATTCTGTATTTCTTTAGAAATCTTTTGAGATAATAGGTCTCACAGAAAAGACTCTCTCAGAGAAGTGGAATTCCTGTATTTGAAATCAGTTTCCTTGTGAAACCTTTAATCCTCTTCTTGAAGCATCTCCTCGATTTCTTTTTCCCAGGCTTCACTAACTTTTGCTTTCACATCCACAATTTCAAACTCCTGAAGTTCTCTTTGTAGCTCCTTTTCCCACTCTGGAATGTCATCTGTTTGGGATAGAAAAGTGATTAATCTGTGAACATTTACAACTAGTAATAATGGTTACACTAATAACTAATGTGACTGTAACCAGGCTTAGCACATCTGGGTTAGGAAGCAGTCCAAACAAAAACAGTCTATTTCCTGTTCTAAATCAATATCCAGTAAATTGGCTTCTCAGACAAGGACAGGATCAAACCAAACTGATCCCAAATTTCCAGGGCCCAAAAATGATGTTTTTGCATCTAGTTGACATACAATTTGACTTCCCCACCCTTTATCAGCCATGACATGTTACACTCGCATTAACAGTTAGCTCCAACTTTTCACCCCATTAATGCAGACTTACTTAGCAGGGGCTTATAACTGGGTGCAAGGGGTCAAGCAGACAACAGAAATTCTGTTCAAGAAGGCACTCAAAATTCTCAAAAGGCAGTTAGTTATAACATATGAGAAGAGAGATTGACGAAGTTGGAACTGTTCTCCTTGGAGAGAAGGCTGCCAAGAGAAGATCTGATAGAAGTTTTCAAAATCATGAGTGGGCTGGGTAAAATAGGTAAGGAGAAACTGTTCCCACTTGTAAAAGGAACAAGTGCAAGAGGGCATACATCTAAAATGATCTGCAAAAGAAGCAAAGGTGATCTAAGAAGAAAAACATTTCCACTCGGTCTGGAATGCACTGCCTGAAAGCGTGGTATAGACAGGTTTTATCGGGGCATTCAAGGGACCAGTGGACAATTATTTGCATAAAAATAATGTGGAAGGATATGGGGAAAAAGCAGGAAATTGGCATTGGGTAATGTTCCTCACTTAATGAGCCAGTGCAGGCAGGATGGGCTAAATGGCTTCCTTCTGTGTTCAGGTTTGGGTATAAACGCTAGTCTGGCAAGCAACACCCACATTCTACGAGATAGTAAGAACTGCCGATGCTAGAGTCAGAGGTAACACAGTGCGGAGCTGGATGAACACAGCAGGTCAGGCAGCATCGGAGGAGCAGGAAAGGTGATGTGTCGGGTCGGGACCCTTCTTCAGAAATGGGGGATGGGGGAGCTCTGGAATAAATAGAGAGAGGAGGGATGGGGCTGGGGAAGGTAGGTGGGATGGTGATAAGTGGGTGCAGGTAAGGAGTGGTGGGGATTGGTGAGTAAGGTGGGAGGAGTGGATAGGTGGGGGAGAAGATAGACAGATTGTGTCAGGTCAAGGAGGCAGGGATGAGAGGGAAGGTTGGTCATGGGATGAGGCCAGGGGTGGGGAGATTTTGAAGTTGGTAAAGTCCACATTGAGACCATTGGGTTGTAGCTTTTCAGAATGGAGATCAGTAACTAGTGGTGTTCTGCAGGGATCAGTCCTGAGGCCTTTCTTGTTTGCAATAAAAGTGATCTGGAGGAAAATGTAGGTGGTCTGATTGGTAAGTCTGTGAATGACACCAAAATTGGCGAAGTTGCAGAAGGTGAGGAGGATTGTCAAAGGACACAGTGGTATAGCGATAGATTGCAGATTTGAGCAGAGAAATGGCAGATGGCATTTAATCTGTACAAATGCAAGGTGATGCATTTTGGAAGATGAAATTCAGGTATGAAGTATACAGTAAATGGCAGAACCTTTAGTGGCATTGACATACAGGGTGATCTGAGCTTACAGGTCCACAGATCCCTGAAAGTGACAATGCAGGTGCATAAGGTGATCCAGAAGGCATACAGCACACTTGCCTTCATTGGCTGGGACATCAATTATAAAAGTTGGCAAGTTATGTTACAGTCCCTGACTAAAATTTTAGTTAGGCCACGTTTGGAATACTGTGTGCAGTTCTGGTTGCCAGAAGGATGTGGATGCTTTGCAGAGGGTACAGTGAAGGTTTACTAAGATGCTTCAAGGTCTGGGGTTTTAGTTATGAGGAGAGGTTGGATAAACTCACACTGTTTTCACTAGAAAGACCGAGGCTGAAGGGTGACTTGATCGAAATCTACAAAAGTATGATAGGCATAGATAAGGTGGACAGTCAGGGGCTTTTTCTCAGAGTTGAAAGGTCAATTAAAAGACAGTACAGGTTCAAAGTGAGAGGGGTAAAGTTTAGGGGAGAAGTGTGGGGAAAATCTTTCACACACAGGGTGGTGGGTGCCTGGAATGCACTGCCAGTGGCAATAGGTACATTAGCAACGGCTAAGGCATATCTTGATAGACATATGAGCGGGAGGGGAACAGGGGGATAGAAACCGTGTATGGGGCAATAAGTAGCAGGTCTAAATAAGGAATACGAATCAGCACAGGCTTGGTGGGCTGCAGGGCCTGTTCCTGTGCTGTACTATAATGTGTAGTTGCCTATCAATCAGTACCTAGATTCTATTAACCATTGAATTTAGGACAGGGTTGTGCAAACATACTGACACTGCATTTTTTAAAAATCATTAGGCAAGGAATATTGTTGCAAGAGTCCTCATAATAAGCTCCCGAATAAGCTCCTCAGTAAGATTATCCATTTAATGGAAAGGTCGAGGCCGGGTGCAGTCCCTGGAAGCCACCCTCTTACCTTTGTTTTTGACATTTCCTACCACTAACTCCCAGAGACCCATCACAAACAACACTTAATTTTCGTGTCAGTGATCCTCGATCTGGGGAGAGATGTCCAAGCAGCAGCTGCCACCTCTGCTTTGGTGCTGCCAAGTTCCAGAGATAACAGCCTCTAAACTGGCTGGCAGCTCCAGCCAGACGGAGCTTCCCTGCTCCAGAATCATAATTCTGGCAGAAAACCTGCCAGCAGCCAATCAACTGCTTGATTACTGAACTATCTGATGGGATATCTGACCAATGTGGACCACCGGTCTCTCCCCAGGAAACTCTCCTGCTTTCGGACTCATCCAAGAACAGGAAAATCCTGGCCTGCATGCCTTAAAAGATTAAGGTAGCTGTAATGTAAACTGAAGAATTGTTTGCTGGTGCTTTTTATTATGGAAGAGTGTAATCTGTGATAGTATTGTATATGGAATACAAATAAAGAAACTTATTGAAATAAAGAAATAGACATGACTGTCCCACAGTATTCATGGAGTCAAACAACAGCTTTACATACTAGCATTTCAAATGTTATGTTATCTTCCAATATTTGCTCTTGACAAAAGAGTTGCACTTTATTTTAAATTAAGTAATCATACTTTGGCCAAAAATAAATGTTCACTACAAGAAACTGCAATCTCAAAATTAAAGAATAGATTTTCAAAACATCAGATGTAGAATGGTGAGTAGCACAACAAATCATTTAGTGCAACTTAGGTTGTAATTAGTATAAATTATGGTGCAGGACGTGCCTGATTTACAAACGTCTGACTTATAAACACTTATATACTTCCGAAGGGAATCCCATACAGGGGCGTACTAACATCAATTTTTAAGTTCCAACACGCAAACATTTCCTCATACTTACAAACAGCTATTTTATATTGTCCTTCATTGTGTTTTGACTTGATACTAATTAATTTGTGGACATTCTCAAAAACAAACCCATTCACAATCTGAGGCTGTCCATAGTCAGTAGAAGAATGGTGCAATTCTTTTAACCTTTTATTCAGTTTTTAAAAATGAAATTTAGCACAGAATGTGCAACAGTTGTTTATTTCAAATAGACCGTGACCATGCTCTGAACAATCAATCAGAGATAAAATAGCTTTACTTTTTGTCTGAGTGTATACCACTTTTACTTTGTCCAAGGACTAAACAAAATAAGATTTAACTTGATATTTTTCTGTTGTACCTACCATCATCAATAGTTGCTTTCTGATCACCACTCATGCCCAATTGTTCCATGCCTTTCAAGAAGTCTTCCTGGTTCAGGGCTGATGTGTTATATGCATCACTCACAAATTCATTAGCAACTGGACTTGTTGAAATCTCATCTAAAGGATGAACCTATAAAGGAAACACTTGTTTTAATAATAAATAGATGTGAAAAATCAATTCTGACCATTTATTCTGTTTTCTCCTAAGCCAGTGCTCTGAATGAAATTTGATACGATTATCTTTCGTCATGATAACTAAGGACTGTTGACAGGGCTCATAGGGTAGCAATAATAAGCCTGAAATAAAAAGAAAAATGGTGGAAGCATTCAGCATGTTAGGCAGAATCTGTCAAAGGAAAAGAAAATTTAATGGTTCAGGAAAACTAGGGAAGGAAAGGCAACCACAAGTTTAGGTTGAAGAAATCGGTTCTAATACCTTTTCAAAAAGGACAGGAGGAGGGGCCAAGAGGTCAGGGAAGGATTTAAGATTTACTTTATTGTGGGTCAATGAGGATGTTCAGCAAACAGGATTAACTGTGGCACGTGCAATTGAGTTTTGGAGAGGTTGGGTTTTAGAGAGTGGAAGGTGAAAGGGTGGAATATTGATAATTAGATTGCAGTGAAGTCGAGTGTTAAAGTGGTGAATGTTTAAGAAGTTCATTGGAGGAAGGAGTGACTCAGGGCAAAAGTATGCTGTGCTCACACTGCTGCAAACACTCAGGTTGGTCTCATAAATGGCAATGGAACCATGCAAAGGCAATCCCATTGATTTGGGCAACAGGTATTGGGGGGAAAAATGTGTTGCGACTCACATTTTATCAGCAACTATTTTTTTAAATCATGAGAATGCCAAGATAATTGATTTTGTTTCGAAGTCATAACATGTCAGGTGGAACATGTTCTAAATGACCAGAATTGCTTGCTAATGAGTGCCTTTACTAGCATAATGAAAAAGAAAATTGAGGTTTAGAGATTACTGACATTGTAACCTTGACAGGAATTTGTTCTTAGCAATTTTGCACCCTGATATTATTTTATTGGTATTTACAAATGAAATGTTGACTGAAAAATTCAGACAAAACACAGCATCACCATAGTAACTTTTACTTGATTCTATATATTTTCCCGTGGAATTCTTTCTCTTAAAGTGAGAACCAATACACCTATAAGTAGCAATATCTCATCCCAAGTGAGTGTCAACTTCATGTTAGTCCAGGTGCTACAGATGGATCAAATTGACTGTCTCAATTGAGCCTGCTCTTAACCTTATATTGGATCTGCATAACCATTGCAGAAGGCAAAGAAAGCAAACAACACTAGCACGTGTGGCAGCTAAGGTATGGCAACTTAACACAAATTCAGAATCAAGTCTACAAGTGCTGAAGAAGAATTACATCCGTCTCGAAACATTAACTCTGATTTTCTCTCTCCACGATTGCTGCCAGGCCTGCTAAATTTCTCCAAATTTTTCTGTTGTTACTAGTTAGTAGTTATATATCATGATGCATTCACAATAATTGGGGATATATATTTCATTATTCAATTAATGAGGCTTACATGCCACTTGTCTAAAATAAACTCTAAAATATGCATACAGTACAGAAAAATGCAGTAAAACTTACTTCTACAGATTCATTTTGTTTTCTCATTGGGACTGAGGGCGTCTTTGACAGAGTGGAATCTAGTATAAAGAATCCATATATTTAAAAACGCAGCCACTCACATGGTATGAAGTATATTATAAGCTGGAATTTGTCAACTCAATTCCTGCTCATGCTAAGGGTCTGAGTAGGAGAGATACAAAAATGCACCAGCAACGTTAAAACAGAGACAACATTAAGTGGCTTACTTTGTAGATGTTGGTGTGTTCGCCGAACTGGGAGGTTTGATAGCAGATGTTTCGCCCCCTTACTAGGCGACATCCTCAGTGCTGTGGAGCCTCCTGTGAAGTGCTGTTGACCTGCACTGGTTCGAATTTATATGGCCTTGTTTTTGCTGCTTCTGGTAGGTGCTGGTTCCAGCTGTGTGTTGTAATGGTCGGTATACTGGGTCTAATTCCATGTGTTTATTGATAGAGTCCGCAGATGAATGCCAAGCCTCCAAGAATTCTCTGGCTGTCCTGAATTTGGCTTGTCCAATGATAGTAGTGTTGTCCCAGTTGAAAGTGTGGTTTTTCTCATCTGTGTGTATTGAAACCAAGGACATCTGGTTGTGTCGTTTAGTTGCTAGCTGCTGTTCGAGGATGTAGGTTGCTAGTTGTCTGCCTGTTTGTCCCACATTGTGTTTTGTGCAGTCTCTGCATGATATCTTGTAAACCACATTCATCCTGTCAATGGTCTATTGGATCTTTAACACTGGTTAGTTGCTGTCTTTGTGTGGTTGCCGGTTTGTGCGCTGTCATGATTCCTACTGGTCTGGCTGTCAGTTCTGAGACATGTCAGACCATGGACAGGATGAACGTAGTTTACAAGATTATCATGCGGAAACTGCGCAAAACACTATGTGGGACAAACAGGCAGACAACTAGCAACCTGCATCCACGAACAGCAGCTAGCAACTAAACGACACGACCAGATGTCCTTGGTTTCAGTATACACAGACGAGTAAAACCACACTTTCAACTGGGACAACACTATAATCATTGGACAAGCCAAACAGACGACAGCCAGGGAATTTTTGGAGGCTTAGCATTCTTCCACGGACTCCATCAACAAACACATCGAATTAGACCCGATATACCGACCATTATAACACACAGCCGGAACTGGCACCTACCAGAAGCAGCATAAAACCGGACCATATAAATTAGACCTGGCACAGGACAACAGCGTTTCACAGGAGGCTCCACAGCACGGAGGATGTCACCTACTAAGGGGACGAAATGTCTGCTATCAAACCTCCCAGCTTGGCGAACACACCTACATCTACAACCAGCACCCGAGCTACAAATCTTCACTCAAATCCTGGCTCACTTTGTTACATTGACTTAAGAATGGAGTAAATGTAATCACCTGTTGCTGGGATGCTTTTGCTCAGGTTCTGCTCCAACTCCTCTTTGGAGTTTTCAGTTTGACACGCAGCCAGTGATGAGAGTTGTGCAGATTGTTTAATGAGAGATACTCGGTAGAAATAGTTTCTCCAGAACTGCTCTTCCTTTACACTGTTAAGGAATACATAAAAGCTACTGCAAAATACTCTGAGTCATAGATACATGTCATTATTTACATTAAATTTCAAGAGTTTCAAATGCACACCACAGAACAATGCTTAGCTCAAAACTTCAATGTATGTAACATGAGATATGCAATATTCTAATATTCTTTATGTTGTCCAGGAAATGGAAGAAAAAGTAGTAACACAGGTTGACTTTTTCCCAGCTCTCCAGCATCATAGCCAAGAAACATGGTAAACTATAATGGAGACTGCACATCATGCCAGTTAACACTGCACAGCTAACCCAAAGCCTTCTTCAACTACATGACAGTGGACTTACCAGCTAACTCATTAAAGCACCTCTGTATGCTGTCGTCTTACATATGTCATCAAGAGAAGGCTGTGGAAATGTGGAATTATGAGAAGCCAACTAGTCTATAGAAAAATCCTTAAAAAAAAATCAGTGAAATTTCCACTGGTGAATGAACAAAGATAAAATACTTCTCTTACATTTGGACAGTGGTTTGGAATTGATGATATAACAGATTTTAACATATTGTTTTGATCAATGGTTGTAACCCTTTTTACCAATTACAGTTTGTATTCCTTTTCAAAGCTGGGAACTCAATTCATTTCTGTTGCAGTTTATGCTTGAGAGCCTGAAAAATGAAATTCATTGGTTCATTACGTTACATTTCACTGACTAAAAATGTTATGTCAGTGCAAGTAGCTGTTACTTGGCTGGATTTGGATCAACATGCAATTGCAAAAACACAGATAATCAAATTCTGCATTGTATTAATTAGTAAACACTCAGTTTATGACATAATCACGTGCATTGCAATAAGCAAAACAAAATGGCATGTAGATTTACACTGGCATGTTTGCTGTGCAATTATCACCTACTACACAAAAATACTTCTTGTAGAACTCAGTGGAAATATCAACAGCCAATCTCCTCAGTGACACAATAGAGATTAATAAAGTTGAACAGTAAATACAGAACTCGATAAGCCTTAAAAAGTGTATTTATTTTCCTTTGCAAGATAATTACTTTTGGTTGTACGAGATGGGCTTTTGGGAAGATCATAAAGGAGAAGCACTTAAAGAGGAAACATCACATGATGGGGCATTTGGGGCTGAAGGTATGGTTGCGGACACAGAGAAGAGAGCAGTAAGGCTGCACAAGAGACTAGGTTCAGAAGACCAGTGGGATGACATAGAGTGCAGAGATGAAATCAGCAGCAAGGAGAGACAGTTTGTAACAGGTGTTAAAAATAAAATGAACTGTGAGCATAAACTAATCATTCATTAAACCATATAGTTAATAATTGGTGCATATTTTACTTCATGTAAACCACTAACTCTATTCATCTTGTCGTCTTGATAGCTGGAATCCGATTCAGTTAGACAAAGTTATTGGTAACTGTCAAAATAATTTTGTATATATAAAACGGAAATGCAAGACATCACAGCTACAATAACTGCCTACATTTATATAGCACCTCTAACATTGTAAAAATCTCGCCATGTGCTTCATAGTTATGTTTTCATACAGTATTCAACATCAGGTCACATAAGGAGATATTACAATTACAACCCAACTCCTCTCCACACTCAAACCTCTCTACTACCTTCAAAAACTTAATTGGCTATGTAACATTTTGGGAAGTATTCTGAGGTAATGAAAGGTACTATGTGAATACAAGTTACAAATGCAAATCTTTGCTTTATAATATTCTGTGCATTTATAATTCCCATGGTATTGCATATTATAAGTCAGGAAACTTTTACGTGGTACACAGAATAAAAGATACATGTCAAGAAGTTTTACAATGTAAAGGCTACAAAATGTTCTTGATATAAATTAATACGATTTTCTAATATTCTGTAATACCATAGCAAGTTAATTACTGGAGGGAAAGTAAAATTATTACTTCAAGTTAAATGAATTCACCATGAAATGATTTATTTTAAAATCAAGAAATATTTAGTTTTGACCCTTTCATATCTGATAGCTGAAGCATACAGCCTTGTACAAAATTAATTGACAAATTAATGTCACCTATCCATACAACTGTTCATTGGGAAGGTTATTTCTTAATAGATGAAAAAAAATACAGACATTTGTGTTCACTTACAGTTTTGGCACTAGTTCAAAACGCATCTTGCTCAACATTTCATCTTCCCGAAGCATTACAATGGCAACAGGGGCTATTTTGTCAAAATCAAAATTAAACTGTACTCCAACAGGAGGGTCCCGAAGAAAGTTCCGTCGTTCCTAGAAAAACACATTGAGCACACAAAGTCGTACATTTCTAGTTTTTCCTTACTACATTCAATATTATAATAGCCCCTTTTCACATTTTATTTTAGAATGCAAGTGACTGAACAATTCTGGAAGATCACCTTTGAAGTACATAAGCATTACTGCCATTCTTTCATCTCATAAATGCCAACTGCTTAACCACACACATTGTGTAGTCCATTAGTGTATTATTTACAAAATGTACAGCTTTCATTTGCTGTGTTTTCTTTCTATCTTGCTGCTTTACAGCAATTCTACTTCTGCTGAGCTTAGTTTAGTGAAAGATTACCTTGATGATGAATTTATTTTATATTTATTTGATGAAATAACTCAACAGAATGTCTGGTCAACTCATTCACTGTGCCATACTCTTTAACTCTTTGAAGACTATGTAAAGCGACTTTACATTACGAGTTAACAAGGTGTAGAGCTGGATGAACACAGCAGGCCAAGCAGCATCAGAGAAGCAGGAAGGCTGACGTTTCATGTCTAGACCCTTCCTCAGAAAATGCATTACAAATGCTTTACATTATGAGTGCTATGATGAATATATACATACAAAAAACATTTCTAGTTTGGAGTTTCAAATACTGTCATTTGGGTGGGTTACTACTAAGAGGGTGTTTTTAAAAAAAACTAGGGCAGATGGTCCTACCGAAATAGTGACCTGATCAAATTTGTGTCAGAGAGCAGGGACCCCCTGGAGAGTTAATAGAAGATTGCTTTTACTGTAGTGGTTTATGATAGATAGGGTAAACATTGAAGATTCAAGATAATAATGGGTTGATTTTAGACTAGGAAACCCAGAAATTAAAAGTTTTTAAGGCTGTTAGGAGGAGACATGACTGGGGTCAGAAGCAAATCTAGTTTCTCTCCTAAAAGGAAATAAAGAACAGTGCAGGGAAAACCCAGTTAATTCAGTAGAAATGTTTAGTTGATAACATTTCCAAACCGGGAGTGTTTAATTAGAAATCTGCAGGTAATTAAAAGCTGAGGAAGTCAAAGCTTTCAGTTTTTGTGAATATTCAAGTTAAGATGACTTCATAGCTTATAGGAAAGAACTGTGGGGAATCAGTTAAGTCAAACACGAAGATTTGATAAAAACCGAAAGAACTGCGGATGCTGTGAATCAGGAACAAAAACAATGTTGCTGGAAAAGCTCAGCAGGTCTGGTAACATCTGTGAAGGTAAAAACAGAGTTAATGTTTCGGGTCCAGTGACCCTTCCTCAGAACTGAGAAACAAAGATTTGATATGTGGGAGTAATTTTCCCACATTTGAATCTTTTTCATGGATGGTGTCAGAAAATGGGATAGAAATTTTACAATGTTTTACAACTTTTCAAACTGCATTCTACATCTTGGTAGCTTGGTTTGTACTATTTTTAATCTTTTTGTGTAATAAATATCTGTTTCTAAAGAAATTCAGCCCTATGTGACTATGTTTCAGTGAATTACAACCACCTTAACTAAAAAAAACTCTATCAAGCAAGGTTTCATTCTTGTATCTGACTTGTCAAGAGCCAGCAGCTGGGACCTGAACAGTCTGCAATTCCCATGTCTGAGGCTTGACTGTACTGAGAGTTAGCCTGAAGCAATATAATATCCACAGTACTTTATCTGATATGGCTAATAACAACAAAGTTGTCTCAATTTCAAAAATTTAATTAGCTCCTTCTGCAATTCAATTTTCAAGAATGCGCTGAAACACATTCAAAATCAAATAAATTGGAAAAAATACATTTCTTAATCTGCCAACAAACAACAGTCCAAGTTTACCAACTGAAGTGCCAAAAAAGAGTTGAAAGGATACTGATAGCATTAAAAGTGGAAAGTCTAAACCAATATCAATGCTGCAGCCAGAAAAATCAAATTAACCTAAAGATGGGACAGTCGTTTTAACTGTTTATTTTTCCAGAAAACAGACTTATGCCATGATTGAATTATACATTTGGCTCACACTCCATTTTCAAGAACATACATCAAGAAAAAAACTATAGGAACTGTCTAGAAGTCTTAGAGACCTTAGAACATTTCTGCTAAGTGGTCTTGTGGAGCATGTAGGCCTCGAAGACTAGGGAGCTATCTTATACTGTTCAGGAGTGCAGCTTGATTGTGATGTTTGTGAAGTGGTTGAGAAAGTTGAGTCTGTTTAAACCTTATACAAATCATGTTTGTGTATAAAGTAGCTGTTATACAATGATACAGCACTCACCCTCACATTTAGTAAAGATATTATTAGCTTTTTAAATGAGGCAGTATAGGACTATCAAAAAAATCTAAATTATGATGGTAGGTCAGATGGAAGGGATTCTTCAAGTTTTAATAGTCAAGCATACTATTTTTAAATTTTGGAATTGTTAATTTGGGAAAACTGATTTCATGATAATGTTTAATAAACAGACGGGGTCAAAGATACCTTTTGGCAATAGGGGATGTGCTGAAAGTGTGGTAACATCAGGTTGAGATGAACAGAAAAAAGACAGAGGACCAAATGGAACCGTCTTATTTGCAGAATTTCTCACCTTATTCCTCTGCAGGACAGTCTGCTGGCTTGCAATGAAGATTTAAAACTTTAAGTCCAAATTATTAAGTTAATTTGTGCTACACAAAATTCCGTTGCACGGTACATCATTTAGAAGTTTGTATTTTCATTTTTAAATTTCTCCAATTGTCTCCTTTACTGTAATTGTCGGCTCACAGGCCCTGATATTAATCAAGGAGCAGAGAGGCTGCAGGAGAAGCCAATAACATATAAATAAAAACTGAAAGAACTGCAGAGGCTGGAAATCAGAAATAAAAACAGAAATTGCTGGAAAAGCTCAGCAGGTCTGGCAGTATCTGTGGAGAGAAATCAGAGTTAATGTTTCCGGTCTAGTGACTCTTCCTCAAAACTGATGGTAGCTAGGAAAAAGTTGTTTTTAATGCAGAAGACAGGGTGGGGGAGGGGGGGTAAGGAGTAAACAATAGGTGGAGATAGAGCCCAGAGACAGAGCAGTTAGATAGACAGAGGAGTGGATAACTAGCAGCCTGGGAGAATGCCCGTTAATAGCTGTTCAATTAGAACAGAATAGAATAGAATGGAATTTCCTTTATTGTCATGTGCACTCCATTGTAGAAGTACAGTGAAAAGCTTTTACAATGTCTGCCTCTTATGGCACCATCTTAGGTACAACCACCTAAGTACAGATCTTGGATACAAAAGAGGAATAAAAACTAGTTGCATTAGTTAGAGTTTTAAAAAAAAGTTAGAAATAAGACATGATTAAAGAATTGACATTACAGTTAGGTAAAAAATTTCAAATAAACATTACATTGTAGCAGCTCAGTGCAGGGTCTCTGCATGTGGTCTGACTGCCAGCACCAGACGCCAGTCCAACAGCCATCCCTGCTCAGCTCCCAGCCTCCAGTCCACTTCGTACCTGCACTCAGATGCTCCAAGGTAAGTTCCAGGACTGCCTCCCCTGTGCCAGTCTCCGCCTGGGTCTTGCTGCCCATATGCTGCTCCAGAGCTCACAGTGCATGTGCTGTTCCAGCAGTGGCTAACGATGGGTTGTAACAATGGCTAAGGCCTGGTGCGTGGGATAAGGACATGGGAGAAGGTGCCACAAGCCCTAAAATTGTTGAACTCAATATTGAGTCCAGAACATTGTAGCGAAAATTAGGTGCTATTCTTCCAGCTTGCGCTGAGCTGTGGAGCACTGCAGCTAGCCTGAGACAGAGATGTTGGCCAGGGAGCATAGTTGTCTTGTGTAAAATGTGGAGGTCCTGAAGAAGCGAAAGGCAGGACTGTATTATAACTTCTGTGTTGCTTCTTGGCCTGCAATTTTGGCTAACTTGACAATCTGTCCTTGTTATGATCTAGTAATCCCTGGAGGAAAGTTGACACTGAGTGAGGGTGCCAGTGCATCCTGGTGTAACTTCCTTTCCAAGCCTCCATGATGAAACAGTCAAATTAATTCACTGTAAAGCCCCTCAGCTAAGGAATATACATCTGAATGAAGAACTGTCACGTAGGGAACTGCTCAAATCACTGGCTTTAGGAAAAGAGAAACTTGGAAGAAAGGAATCAAAATAGCCTTAGTAGGCAACTTACTGTAGACAGAGAGAGAATTTGATGCCTTATAGTCTCCTCATCATTATAGCCAGCCCATGGTGGAAGTGCTGAAGCTGGAAATAAAACCAAAATGGTAATTAAAAAGTAGTTTTCTTGTTTTATATCTGTTGTTCATCAATCCACGAAACAAAAGCTACATGTTAGGAGTGGAAAGTTAGGAGAATGGTGTTTAGCTCTCATCTTTTTCTTAAATATATTCTGATTTAGCATTTATCTGTCAATGGGGCATAACCACTCATAAGCCTTTTCACTGCATAAAATTCAATAAGACAATTTGATGAGAAAATTAAAAAATGGTTTGGCCTGAATTTATGTAGCTCGTTCAAGTTCACAGAAGATCCCAAGGAATTTCACCATCAACGATATTTGTTTCTGAAGTGTAGAATCAATTTCAATAAAGGAAAATATAGCAGCTGATTTGTGTACAAACACAGAAACGTAGAAAATAGGAACAGGAGTTGGCTATTTGGCCCTTCAAGCGTGCTCTGCCATTCAATATGATACTCAGTGCCCTGTTCCCGTTTTCACCCATTCCCTTTGATCCCTTACAGCTATAACAACTGTAAATAATTCCTTCTTGAAAACATTCAATGCTTTACAACACATTTTACAACAATGGCCCATGTTGAGCAAGAGATAGCCACAACACTAAGTTGCTCTTTTTTGGATTGGATTGGGTCTTCTATGTCCTCTGTGTCTTCTATGTGTGGACAGGAAACCTTGGGTTATCCAAAAGGTACCATTACTGACAGGAAAGCTCTACCTTTGTACTGCACTGAAATGCTTGTCAGCAATATGTATTTACATCTCTGGAGTGAGGCTTAAGCCCACGGCCTTCCAATACAGAGGCAGAGGTGCTACCACTGATACCTACATATCAGATTCCAAGGAGTGAACTGGAAGAACTCTGGACTAAGTTTTGGACAATCCTACACTAGGCCATAAAACATTGCAGGTGCAATTTCCTTCCTCTTGCAGCAAGGGCAGCCTGTTGAGAAGCTACAAGTAGCCCTAGCATTCTTTTTTTATAGCAGGATTGAAGCCAGGAATCCTATTTATGATTGCTATCTTGTGACCATTTTCCAATTCCCTGCCAGGTCACTTGGGTCAGTGACAGCAGAATTGAGGTTGTCTGTGATGCCCCATGTGGTCAAATGGGCCGTCACTACACACCAGCTAGGCTCCAACATAAAACTTAATCCAACACACTGCCTTCAGAATGGGAGGAAACAGAAAACTTGATTTAAACAAAAAACAGCCGAAAGCCCTGAATTTAGATCACTGGCAACTGAGACAAATTAAATTTCTAATACTGTATTCAGATGCTTTTTAACACATCTAAGTCTGAATTTATGGGTCAAGATTAAAGAAATGTTAAAATATGACACACCTTCAGTAAAGTTCGCACATCTCCACCCTCTTCAATGATTCATTAAATGGAATATTGACAAGGGGCTTATGAATACAACTATTTATATTCATATAGCCTTTTAATGTAATGAAACATTCCAAACGGCACTTCACAGGAGAGTTATAAAACTAAGTATGGCAATGAATCATAAACAGATAATATGTTAGATAACCAAATGGTGATCAAAAGAGGCAGGCATTAAGGAGTGTCTTAAATGAGTAAATGTGGTCGGGAATGGTAAGATTTAGGGAGAGCATTTCAGAGTTTGGAGCCTAGGAAACTGAAGACATGGCCCTCAATGGTGGACTTATTAAAACTAGGAATGCTCAGGCAGCCAGAACTATAGCAGATGGACAGTTTGGAGGTTTCTGGAGCTGGAAGTCCTTGCAGAGTCAAGGAAGGGTGAAGCCACGAAAGGATTTGAAAACAAAGATTTTTAAAATCAAGGCATTGTTATGTCAAAAGTCAATGTAGTTCAACAGCACAGAGGTGTCAAGGGAATAAAACTGCAACGAGTTAAGACATGGGCAGCAGAGGTTTAAGGAGGGTAGAATATGGGAGATCAACGAGGAGTGTATTGCAATAGCCAAGTCTAAAGGTACTGAAAAAGCCTGAATGAGGCTTTTTGTGATAGATGAACTAATGTGGAGGCACATTTGGGTAATATTACAGAGGTGGAAACTTAGTGATGGCATGAATACAAGATCAGAAGAAGATCTTCTTTGGGTCAAATGTGACACCATGCTTGTAAGCAGAATGGTTTTATCCCAGACGACTACCAGCAAAAGGGATAGAGTCACTAGCCAGGAAATGTTTTTTTTTCTGAAATTGGGAAAGATGTATTAAAGAGCTTTGAAAAGAAAATGGCAGTTGGAGTGGACGTCATGATACTTAAGAGGAAATTATGGACCAAATCACTGACTTTGAAAATATTTGTTCAATAAATGCAGAACTGAATTGGGAAGAGAATCATTCAATATTATATATACATAAGAATAGGCCATTTGTTTAAATGAACCAATATAGTACCTGTCTTCTTCAATTTGTTTTCCTTTACAAACTTTTCTTGTTCCTTTTTGAAATTTCCAATAATTGTCTATAAGTGACAAAAAAAATGGAAATAATTAAGCTGATAAACTTAACTTGTACATAATTGCAGCATATGCCTTGCTGGTCTTAAAACACACCTATAAAAATATGAAAACAAAAAAGTTTCATAATATTGCTTACTGTATTTCAAGCTCCTTCAAGGAGGGTAGATTATATCTCATCTAGTGGAAAAAGTGCTTGGAAGGGGTTAAAATTATCACTTTCATAAACTACCACAAACTCTATTCCCATACCACAACTTTGAAGTCA